TAATAAAATATGTATATATAAATATATAGATTCATTCTGTAAGTTATGTTCTTGTAGAGAACCCTGACTAATAGGCCACTCATTCAAAGAAGTTCAAGCCAAGTCAGTAAGACAAAAGAGGATAAAGAAAAGGCATTTAAGCTGGAGAAGGGAAACAAACAAAGATAACCCCAACTCTCCTTATTTCCAAATGACATAGATTATTTAAGTATAAATCTCAGAGAATACCTAATAATCAAAATACCCTTCTAGAACTAGTGAATTCAGCTAGATCACAGGATATAAAATCAACACAATTCAGTTCTTTTTCTGTATACTAGCTATGGATATATGGAAATTGAAATAAAAAAATTCATTTATGCTCTCCCAAAAGTGAAATATTTAGGTATAAAGCCAAGAAGGCAAATATAGAATCTATACTGAAAGTTAAAAATTGAGAACAATGATACAGGTAAATTAAAAACTTCAATAAGTAGATATAGTATGTATATGAATTGAAAAGTTCAACATAGTAAGACATATGCAATTTCTATTAGCATCCCAGTAGGTTTTTTTAAATGTTACATACTTTTTGGGGTTTTTTTTTTTTTCTTTTTGGAGACAAGGTTAGTCTATCCTCTGTAGCCAACTGGATTCCTGATCCTCCTGTTTCTGCCTCCTGAGAGCTGCAGTTACAGGAGTAAGCTAGTATCACCAATTTATATGGTGCTGGGAATTGAACACAGGGTATCACACATGCTAGCAATTCCTGTGTTAGAAATGTATTCACAAATGAAAAAGTAGTAACATCAGTATTTACTTAGTACTGTAATTTGAAATACCCAAAACATTGGAAATTAAAATTTTCATTTCTGGATTAAAAAAACAAACAAGCAAAACAAAACCCTTACCAAAGAACAGAGCAGTCTCCACACTGCTTGGCTCTTTAGCGTAGAACCTGGCATAGAGCAAGCACCTCTCGTGCCTTGGCAGAGGCTCACTCTTTCTAAGTATGGATCAGCTTCTAGAATGTTACCTATCGAGCTGGCAAAAGTACTATGACACTTCTGAGTTTCTCTAACATGAAAGGTTTTTGCTAGTACCACTTATCCTTTCTCTCACTTTATGAATTTGTCTTATTAACTTGTTTATTTATATTTATTTATATTTTATTTTATTTATATTTGTCTTATTAACTTTATGAATTTGTCTTATTAACTTGTTTTTAGTACTAGCGATCAGACTAGTAACTAGTAGACTAGTAGACTAGTTACTAGTAGACTAGACTAGTAGACTAGTAGACTAGTTACTAGTAGACTAGTAGACTAGTTACTAGTAGACTGTAACTAGTGTTACAGTGCCAACAGGCCTGGCTTACCTTACTAATCTGTGTTCAGTAAGAAACTGCACCACATCAAGTCAGCCGTATCAGCATCTCCTTTTGCTTTTCGTGTGTTGTGTTCATTTTAGATCTTATTGCCGAAGCTAACAGAGAATATAGTACTTCATTGAAAACAAACATGTTGATCAGTCTGTGTGGGTGTGTCCATGTGGTCGTGTGGGGCACTGGGAGCCACTTGATAGGGGTGCAGTACTAAATCTTATTGAGACAATAGCTTACTATGTAGCCTAGGCTTGCCTTGAACTCACAGAGATCCCCTGCCTCTGCCTTCTCAGCAGAGCCATAAAAGCTCTACCACGTCCAGCCAGCATATACTCTTTACTAGCCCTAAGTTTTATTTTTGAGACAGGGTTTCATGTATCTCAGTTGGCCTCAAACTCAAAATTGGGGATGACTTTGAACCTTGATCCTCCTGACTATTCTTCCTGAATCCTAGGACTGCAGGTATATTCTACCATATCTAGTTTATGTGATACTGGGAATCAAAACCAGGGCCCCATGTATGCTGGGCAAGCACCCTACCAACTAAACTACATCCTCAGCCCTAAAAATTAGTGCTTAGGATAGTTACAGTTAGTGTATTGTAGGCAGGATGGTTGCAGTTAATATATCGTGGTAGCTAAAATGTGGAACCCATGCAGAGGAAGGACTGTGGGTCTGTCTGACAAAGTACATACACATGGTCAGTGGTTGTGGATTGACTCCAGGGCCCTGGGTGTGCTATGTCTACGCAAGTGCCCTCCCTACCACTGAATTAGACTCAGCCAAACATAGGACTTTTACTCACATATATAAACAACCTTCAAAGTTCCAAGAGTTTCAAACTAACCTACTTAGAAAGTGGGACGTGAAAAGAAATATTTTGCCAAAGAGACTATGTGGATGGCAGATATTCCGTGAAAACCTGTTTAGCATCGTTAGCCATTATAGAAATGCAACTTAAATCTATAAAGAGATATTAGTAAATGTTTGTTAGGAGATAAAAGAATGATGATAGCACTAAATACTGGTGAAGATATAGTTAAACTGGAATATTTTATACATAGTTTACAGGAATGTAAAATGGAATATACTCTCTAGGAAACAGTTTGACAGATTTAATGAACCAACATAAATTTACCATATAAGCCAGCAATTGTGCTTATATGGATTTATCATACAAAATAAGATATATGCTTAAACAATAATGTATATATAGGCTTCATGAGTTTATGTACATTTTATGTATTTATTTATTTGTTTATTTATTATGTGTTGTCTGTGACACATGAGAGAGTGTCAATGTGCACAAGCCACAGTGTACATGTGGAGGTCAGAGTATAACCTTTAGGAACTGGTTCCCTGCTTTCACCTGAGTTCAGAGATCAAGGTTGTCAGGCTCATGTGGTGAGTTCTTTACCAACTGAACCATCTCTCCTCCTGAGCAGGTTTATCCTAACAGTCAAAACCTAAAAACAGTTTGGATGTTCTTAAGCAGGTAAATGATTACTGTACAGATGTGATGAAATACTCATCATAAAGAGAACGGAACACTTGATGTCTGCAGTGACTGGGTTAGCTCTCAAGGGCATTGTGCCTAGTGAAGAAAATGCCAATCTTAAAAAAGCCAATCTGTGTGGTTCCATTTATATAACATTCCCCAAATGTCAGAATTATAGAGCTGGAGAAAAAAAAAGAAAAACAGCAGTTATCAGGGCTTCAAGATGGAAATCAGTGGGCGCACAAGATGTGGCTACAGAGAGCTTGAACAGGGGGTTCCTCAACAGGGACAGAGCAACTCTGTAGTTCGATTGCACTGGTGGCCACATAAATCTGTAACCTGGATAAAGCTATATAGAATAATACATATACACATACATTATACATGCAAATCTGTACATGTGAAAGGTGGTACACTGCAAGTTTTATATTGTATTATAAGGCTGATTGTACCTGTGTCCTTCTTGCTGTTGATGTTATATTATTATTATTATAGATTCCTGTGAGCTTATAGTTATTTCAGACTACATTTTCTCCTTCTTCCTTCCTTCCTTCCTTCCTTCCTTCCTTCCTTCCTTCCT